CCCCCCCCCCAAAAAAAAAATCCCGTTATACTAGTGTTTATTCGCTAAAAATATGCCCTTTATATTGCGCAAATCTGTGTTACAAAATTGTTCTATGCGCTTTACTTTTACATAATAGTATTCATGAAAAACATACATACACACACGTAACCTAATAACTAAATATGGTATAAGCGGAACATTTCCGGAAAAACTTGTGATTAAGTGAATAGCAGAGTTTACTCTTTTTATGTCATGTTTTGTTTTTGAAAATCTATGTTGTCATAAATTATTGTCCTTGTTATTTTTTCACCTTACAAACGTGTAATAGATTCTATATTACATTGGTTGAGGACCCCCCCCCCCCCTTTCTTACACTTTTCTTTTACAGGAGTCACCCCCCTCCTCATTTTAGGCATTTTCCAGGCGTAAGGTTATATATATTTGAACTACCCCTTTAGGGTTTTCTGGATGAATCGATCCATGTCTAGATTTACCCTCCTGGCCTAAGATTTAAAGTCTTTCACAAATCTTTATACTAGATCTATCTACCTGGTGCTACGGAACCACGAAAGCTAAGTAATCAGACGATCGTGTTTACGATTGAGTTTACTCTATATCTAGATCTAGATCTAGAGTCTAGATTTAGCTAGATCTAGAAGAAGTAGAAGATGATTCAGTCCAAACAGGTCCATTGGGGAGGTCAGGTCGGGAGGGGTCAGTTTGCTCGACAGACTGAAGGCGCAAATCGATCGCTCCCGACTCGTTGCCTCAAAAACAAACGCGTTGTTTTCAGATTTCAGGCAATGAGTCGGCGATCATTTCGACCCGATCTCATCCGCACCGCAACGGGCACTGGGTGGGGGCATCCCGTAGATCTAGTGCATTGGAAGTGGTAGACAGGGTTGCCACTCTCTATTCTGACACAAACCCAGATCCGGCCAAATTTGGATCAAAATAAACCCAGATTTCAGTCCATAAACCCAGATACATAGCTTATATAAGGGGGGGGGGAGGCTTGAGGTTTTAAAAATGTTTTTATTATTCAACAAAAAAAATTTTTAAGTTAATTAATTAGACTAATTTTCAACTTCAAAGCAATTTTCAGAATACTCCAACATTGAAAATAACATTGCTTACAGCGCGTGCAGTACCCAGATTTTAATGACAACATAATAATATGTGTAATGTAGCCTACGGTGTAGGTGGCCTACTTAATCTCAGTATAATAACACAGTAGGCTATATGTGATCATTGTATTAAGAACCAAATGAGCCAAGAACCCAGATTTACTCAAATTTCCCTTGTACCCAGAACCCAGGACCCAAGTCGAAATACCCAGATCAGGGTTCAAAAACCCAGGAGTGGTAACCCTGGTGGTAGATCTAATTTCGCGTCGTTATTTTTAGTTGTGGAAGAAGATTTCGGTTCTTTTTACCGAAATTAAATGATTATTTCTCAACTTTTGCAGAAAATTGCCTAAAATTGGCGAATTCACGAAAATGGCAAAAGTTGCGCTGAGGCCAAAAGTTGTGTGCGCAACTTGCGGGTTGTGCGCGCCAATTTCTCTGAGGACAGGACGCGTTCGCACATTGCCCACACGTTGCGAAAACCTGAATTTTCAGAGTCAGTGTTTCAGTTCGCATTAATTGTAGCCTAAAGTGGGTGGGATTGTTTGTTTGTTTGTTGTTATTTTTTTTGTGTGTATTTTTTGGAGGGGGGGGGGGTTGAAGAGGGGGTGGGGTGTTTCCTGTTTTTGTTTTCTATCATTTATTTTCTTTACCCCTTCCTTTCTTGTTAAGACGAAAACCAGATATCACATTAACTTATAGTTGGAAAGCTGTCTCTCTGAGTCTCTATCATTCTGTATCTATCTCGCTGTGTCTCTGTTTCTCTAACTATCATTCTGTCTCTGTCTCTC